TAACCGAACCTAACCTAACGGGATTAATCTTGGGATTGATTTGTTTCATTTTCCGTTCGCTCTTAGCCGATCGGAAATTTTTTATTGAGTCATTCCGTTATTAGGAATAATTATCACTGAAGAACAGAAAATTCAGTCTACTACTATACTGGATATAAGTCAAAACAAAGTCACCAATCAGTAAAAATTATCCCAAATAGCAGAAGAATTATTCGATTTGGCAACATCTGTAAGAAATTCCTAATGCGAAAGTTCAGTGTTGCCAAGAGTTTTACTCGCGTCTACGTCACAGCATCCAACTTGACTACGACGCAGGTTATTGGAATGGGCCATCTTCTGTCAAGGTCTATCAACTCTATGAGGTTATTGCCTCATATTTCTCTGGCATGACGTCACTGTATCCCCTCTCGTCTTTTGTCGATTGGCGAAATCGCGAAATGGCGATTTGCAAATTGCGATATTTGGATAAAAAAATGCAAATATTAATTTATTCAAGATTCTACAAACTTGTCAATGACATGAAGCGTTGACACTTTTGGTAGTGATGATGGTTGAGTTTGTTAATTTTTTAACATTATTACACTTTTATTAATTTCGTGAACGGTGAACAGGTGAAGAATTGGAGATAGTTCGAACAATTCAAACTAATTATGACGAGCAAATCAATTGACATATAAAAGAACAGCTACTGCAGGAACAAATACAAATCCATTGTTCTACAGGAGTTCCTCTAGACCCCAACTTCATTTTTACTTCATGTGGGGAAGATTTCATCGCCGAAGTTTGTAGACAAAGTGCAGAAATGTGCCTTTTGTTGAAGTCTTTTGCCTCACACAAAATCACATGATTAGCACGGAGAACTGCTTCTCTTTCCACTACTGGTCGGCTTTTTCCATCTAAATAGAGCAAAATATCTGCCAAAAGAACATCTTCAACAGGCATTATTAGCGTTTTCGATCGAATATTGACAATTAATGTCAAGAAATTTAAAAACTTATCACTCTCGTCAGTACACAGTACACAAGCTGATGGTACTAATGGGATTGAGTGAGAATTGAGTTTGTTTTCCCCCAGTTACGACGTGGCTTCGACATGGAACGATGAGAACCGAGCGCCACCTGGTAACATTGATTCCCGCGAATACCATGAGACAACCTTATAATTCTACCAACCTTGATCCTCTGTGTTTTACTATGGTTCTATCCTTTTATCCTTCTTGGGTGCTGGATACACCACAGAACTTGTTCATGACACAGACGAAGATTTCTAGAGTCGCATACAGACATCGTGATAATGTACAGGCGAAGAGTCTATGAGAAATTGGCCGGCGTTGGATTCATGGAATTGAATCGGAATAAATTTCGCCAGTCAGCTGGCCTATCTCAAGGTCGTGGACTTCCCAGAATCACAACATTTTCATCATTGACAAAGTATCGCTTACGCCAATTCGCCTAGCAACAAACTTAGCTTAATAAATATCAAATATCAAAACACTACTGGTGCCGACTGTCAAGAGTGTCAAAGTCATGCCGTCAAGCGTAAAAATCGTCAAATAAAACTTCACAAGTCCTCAATCATCATAAAGCTTTGTTTTCATGACAACGTTTAGCGTCGTGCGTCTTGCGTTATCTTGGTCTGATTGGCTGTTCCAAATTACGCGAATTAAATGAAATTGTCATGATATTCATGTAATTTTCATACATGCGTCCACCTCCAGATATTCACATGTTGAATTTGAATTAGATGTTCGGAATTTCCCATTGGTAATTGATGATTATTGCCATGAATAAAGTCAATTTGACACCTGCTGTATTGAAATAATAATTTTTTATAATATATGAAATCTATTAACAAAATTCCGATTAGGACCACGCTTGGTGTCTCGATGATTGAAAGAACATGACCTACGAATTCCATGAAATCTAATGCATTTCTCATTTATTCTTGCGCTTTTTTCTTGCTCAACGCAATGGAGTTCATTCAGTCGAGGTAGCCAATCAGAACGAGGCAACGCAAAACGGACGACGCGGAACGATTTCTCAGAATATGATTCTCGCACTAGCAGTTGTCATTGTTCCAATTGGTTCCACTCTACAGAAGCCAAGAATTTATATAACCATGAACTTCGGTATGGACTCATTTTTACACCTTCTGATTGGCTATTCTAACTTCGGCGATTAACTTGAATCGCTCTATCCATCTTCTGTCCTTGCTAATATTTGCCTAATATGATGATATTTTCAACATTTCTGTGGTGTAATAGTTATTCATTCATGCAACAAGTGCAGAAATATTGTCTTTTACAAACTAAATTGTTCAATTATATGTTTCATGATCGGTGTCGCCACACAACAATACTGGATATGCTATAACGAGAACATCTGGAATTTTCCAAGAGTTTGGCAACACTGTATCCACATCATATCGCACACGCCACGGTTCATCCATAATGAAGACTCCGCTTGAAGACTCCGTACCACGTGCCCCTACCAATGACCTACGGTCCCTTGATAGAAATTGACGTTGAAGTCATCTTCGTGCCCCCTGCGCCAGCCGCACGAATTCAGATTTACCCGAAATGGTCCATAGGCAGGCTTTTAGACCAATCAGCACGATTTTTGCCTTGGCGGTGATTTCAAATCGTATGATCGTATCAGTATTATAGAATATAAGGAAGGAAAACTACTTTTCCTAAACAATCTAAGCTAACTCGGCCTAAAACATCTTTTACTCAGAATGTATCATTTCAACTTGGAATAGAAAAAAATATATAAAAAAGTTCACTCTTTCGAGAATTGACTACTACTATTTTGCAATAATCTAACCTAAATCGACCTGTTCCCCAAAATATGTATTATTTTACCAAATATCTTGGAATAATATAAAACATAAAAACGGTTGCTTTTAGAGCAATCACAACGCTCAACGCTTCAGTTGTTCTTGTGCAAATCCACGGCTTGATTGAATTCCTTCTCCATAGGATAATTTTCTGGTGAGCGTTTTATATAGCGAACTCTGCTTCCGATTGCTACGACCGTGGCCTAACTTTTTTATTCAATTAATTTTATAAAACGAAACATTTCGGAAAAAGGTGTATTTTGGCCGAGTTAGGTTAGATTCTTGCGAAAAAACAGTTTTTAATTCTCGCAAGAGTAGACTTTTCAATTTTCATTTCGTATTCTAAATCACTTTATGATAAATACATTTTGACAAAAAGGTTTATTTAGGCGGAGTTATGTTAGATTTTGTAGAAAAAGTAGTTTTCCTTCCTTTATATCCGATAATGATCAACTGTTCATATGATTTCAATTCACCGCCGAAATCGTCCTGATTGGACTAAACTCCTGTCTATGGACCATTTCGGGTGAATTTGAATTCGTGATAGCACACCTGAAAACGCTTCTGCTCAATGCAATGAAAATCCCAAATGTCATTCATGACTTTGATAGTTTGACAGGCACACTACTTTATATAAAGAAGCACATCAATGGATGGTACTCTCATATATCCAGGTCAACCTTTTTATTTTATTTATTATACAGGGTGTCCGTAAATGGAGCATAGTCCTTTTATCAACATGTTCTTTCAGCAGAGTAGCAGAAATATCTATTATAACTTCTGTATGATTTATACATATGTTTGAGCCCTTCTTTTTGAATATACAGTCAAGTTATACTATTATCTTTGCCAAAGGAATGTATTATATGGTCTGAAACAGACTGATCGTTCTTCTTTTCACATAAACCCTGTTTAATTAGTAGAATATTATTCTTCCTAACATCACAAAAATTATCAATATAATTCTGGAAGGCAAGGATACAGAGATTCCATAGATTATGGAGATTCGAATTAATCGCCAGAAGTAGAATCATTCTCATTGGTCTAAAAATGTATTCATACCGAAAGTGATGGTTATCTGAATTCTTGCATTTCATTCGGGGCTCGGGGCGTCTGGCAAAGCATAATTGGCATAATCAGTGTTGCCAGGTGTGGCGATTTATCGCAATAGCGGCAACTTTTTTGGTGAAATGTACATTATGAAACCAAAAGATTTAATGGCGACATGTTATATTCGCATAGAAATTTGCAGATTTGCCATCCATTGATATTTTCATTGATTCAAAATCAGTGTCAATGATTGAAAATCAATAAGATTTATTGACGAAAATACATTGGTACAATATTTAAACTGAAGATGTCTTGAAAAGTAATTATAATTCCTGGACAGTCCTACGGAGGCATGAAAATGCTGTAGGCGTATTGATTTTCGAAGAAATAACTGAATTTGTTTTGCTTTTATTGAGCTTATTCTTCATCGAATGCAGTAGTGGAAAGGGTCTTCAGCATATTGAATCCAACAAAAACAAAACTGAGGAATGAAATGGGGATGAAATTATTAGAATCAATATAAATTTACAAATTCAATATATTATAATGAATCTGCAGATATGAAGAAATTCTAATTGAAGTTTTCTCTTGTCATGATGCGGATGAGACTGATTCACCTTGTATAAATATACTTGAGTAAATTTATAAAAATCGCTCATTTGACTAATATGATATGTACCTACCTAATTCTTGATGTTAATTCCTTCTTATGATAACAAAAATATTTAACATTTAATAAATAAGTTGTATCAACATTATTGTCTCATTTTTAATTTTCATGTAGTATTAATTTACTTATTTGTGAATTTTTTGATGTACTCCTGTGGATTTTTGGAATTTGACAAAAAATTAGTCATATTGCATTTTTTTCTTTCATCAATGGTAGTGAGAGATGGAAATAGGTATGTTTCCTCGTTCTGATACAGTTTTGTTGCAGTTAACACCCCTGCTCCGAACGAAGATATGAATTCAATCGATCGATACAATTCCAAAAGCAAAATTACAATTCTCATAAACGATAATTCTGGCCACTTTCTCAAGAAACTGGCGACATCAATTCTTGAAACCATCTTGAAACCTGACAACGTGACAACACTGGGCATGTCAATTCTGTCAAATTTTGTGGTTTAGCCGCGTAGCCGGTCTAGTCATTAATTTTTAGCGCGAAACACATAGTTAAGATAATTATTATGCAGCACGCGAAGACCGAAGAAGCCCAAGCCAAGCGTCATGCAAGCGTCTTCATAATTATCTGAAGGTATTTAAGAAAAATATGTATTGAAACTATTGAATGCCTAGAGAGATGGCCTTTAAACTGATAGAATTTTTGGGTGATAATTTTTTACACATTTGCTCCTATGAAGACATTAGTTCCACCAAAGAAGGTACCATTATTGCAAAATGGAAAAAGAAATATTTTGCTGCAAACATTATTGCATCTTCACATGATAAGAGTATTGTGGAAAGTTTGCGATTCAATATAAGCAGAGGTTTACCTGTTGTTCAATTATGCAGAATCAATCATGAAATATATAAATACTCATCATCATCAACATGTGATAAAGGTAAAGGTTGCATTATTTTTTGATACAATTATTGATGAGGATTTTTATGCTTAGTAGAAGATTCCATCCAAGAAGGAACCATACCTGAACTTGAAAATCCTACAAAAAGTAATTCCATGCATTTGGATGGAGGTAGGTACATCTTCATTCATTGAAATATTTGCTGATGAGCATTATCATTCATTGACAAATTTCTGTTCAAGGAGAACCTGTAATATGTGAAGTCACAAGTGAAGTCCAAGGTAATGACACACCAGAACTTGAAATCCATGGCAGCTTTTTGGAGGAGGGTAGGTTTTTCATGATTAATGCAACTTCATATGTTTAAAGTAAGTTATCCTTCAAGTAGGTTCTGTACCTGTGATATGTGGCACTTCAAATGAACCTAATGTTGGATCTACAGAAACCAGTATCAGCAATTTGGAGGAACAATGGCACTCTCCAACCACTTTCTCCAATATTGACTTGGAATATATTCTGAATACAGATCTCCCCATCATCTTTGTTGATGCACCAATTACAATAACAGGTTGGTACTTACCTATCTACCTATACCTAGGTTTTGAGAAATGTATTTTTTTGTTGACACTCATCACCTGTATGGATTTACCCTTCCTCATTTTGTTTGCAGGTCAAGACACCAGTAAAGACATTGAACAAAATCCATCATCAGCTGTTGTTTTATCAGAGTTACAAGGTGAAGGTATGCATTATTTCAAATAACAATAATTGAATATGAATGTGGAATGTGGCTATATCTAATTATTGTTATCTAAAATGATAATAATTATTATCATAATAGTACTTTAATGAACTGAAACATGGTCCAAAGGTCAATTATTGAAAACTCAACACTAGAAATAAGATTGGAATATTTCAGTTCAGAACCATCACATGTTTTGTTGTTTTATTTTATTGAACTTGAGGGAAGGATTCCTGAAAAACTATGATGAGCCATTCTCATTCTATAATTAATCAAGTCAAATGAGTATGCTTGCCGGTATGCATGTAATAGCCATAATAGCAAATAATTCTTCCATGACCCATTCATGATATTTGAGTTTTTCACATATATCCTTGTATTTATTATAAAAAAATTGAAAATTATCAGAACATCTAATAAAAAACAACTAGGCTCCTGGCTAATACCACAGGGCATTGAATTATATCTATCAAATACTGGAACCACCTAGTGAGACAGAAAATAAAAAATGTAATTCTTAAAAAGTGTATTATCTATCATCTATCACATTTATTGAAAACTAGTTATCTATTGATCATTACCTAGAATCAATTAGACTTGATTTGATGAAAATTATGTTTAATGCAAATATTTGACTCACTGAAAATCAATCACATCCATGAGCTTCTGCTCTCATTAGGAAAATCCAAGGGGAAATAACTCTTTAAATTGGTGAACATCCTAGAATTTTGAGCATTCAATCACTCATTTCAATACATTGAGTACACTTTAGTATGCTTTTCAGTACTTCAGTGAATACTTTGGTATTTTTATCAGCTGAACTAATTCAAGAACTCTCAAGTATTATAAGTACCAGTTTTAGTAACTTAAGTACTAACAAATTTAGTCTTTTAAGTTTAAATATCTCGAGTATCAGATTTTGTACTCAAGTATTTGATAATTCCTGGGTTATTACATCTGAATACTAAGGTTTTAGTATTTAAGTACCTTCATTGTGAAATTTCCGACTCTTCCCAATTTTACCCGAATTCCCCGCCGACAAGAATTGGACATTTTTATTAAATTTTCTATTGAATCATTGAACGTAAATTCCGTCCCTTATTCATTCCCGGCAGAGCATTATTATTTTTCAGCTAATTTTGTGGGAAAGTCAATTGTTATACATCATTGTATTCAGACAGAAATATATATTAAAAAAATTAAAATATATGTTGCCATTTGAAAAAAAGTACAGAACTGTTGTCAGAATTAGAATTGGAAAAAAAATGTTGATGCCACAAGGTGTCTGATGTCATTTCATTTGCTCTTTTTGGGCTCTTCTTTTCAGTCAGTCTGTATACAGGGTGTCCAGAAATGACATCCCAACTGCAGATTGTAGGAACAAAAATAGTAAAAAAAGTTTTCAAACATTGGTCCAGAAATGGCCCTGTAGCATAATCATTTTAAAATCTATTCATTTCCAAGACAGTGAATGGTATCGAAACTAAACAATTACCATTTTTAGGTGATGTTAAGATTCTTATATTTACTTATCACACTGCCGAAAATTGAACAAACAAAAGTTGGAGGAAGAAGTGCTCCTAGCTTTTATACAGGGTGTCCGCTAAAAGGAGGTCAATCCATTAACCATATATTCCTTGAACAAAAACAATATGAGTTTCTAAATACCATTTTTCATTTTAGCCCTTCATATTCAATATACAGGGTGTCAAAGTTGGAAATTGAAAACAACCATAACAAATAACCAGTACTTTTCGAATTATCTTGAAAACAAAATAATTCTATCGAAATTTTACAAGAGACAAAAAATACTCAAAAATGATTGAACATTTGAAGAAAAATAGATAGGAAGTCATTAGCGCACGTACAAAAAAATATGGGGGTGACTGTGTACGTGACCCCCAGTATTTTCAATATTTGACAGTTATTTTCTATTTTGTTTTCCTCGCACGATGTAACTCTGTGTGCTGAAGTAATGTACCAATTTTGAGATTAATATCTTATTAAATACGCGAATAATTAGAAAAAAAAACAGTTTTTAATTTCCAACTTTGACACCCTGTATATCGAATATGAAGGGCTAAAATGAAAAATGGTATTTAGAAACTCATATTGTTTTTGTTCAAGGAATTTGTGGTTTATGGATTGACCTCCTTTTAGCGGACACCCTTATCTCACGCCTCAGAAACAAAATTTTGCAATATTCTCAACAATTTTTATGAATTGGGCATGAAAAGTTGGGAACGTGTACAAAGGCTCGCCCCCTAAGGCGCCTTATTTGTTCCATGTTTATTGTATACACTTTTTTTGATATTCTTGTTCCTAGAATCTGCAGTTGGAATATTTTTATGTAATTTCGGAACGCCCTGTATACCTACCAAATAAATCAACTGACGTCATGACTGAAATCTCATTCATGCTGACTAATATCAAAGGAATGAAGGTAAATGTTATTATTTTGGAAAGAATTTCGGTTTATATTATTTCTAATCAGTTCTTACATACTTGAGTATTGATTGATACTAGTTTTTTAATCATTAAGTACCTTTAGTGCATGGATAACTACTTCAGTTGAGTACTTTACTACTTCAATTGAGTACTTTAGTACTTCAATGATACTAATAATAATAATAATAATGGATCAACTTTATCATCTGTGAGAAAAATCGTATTTAGAACAATCATACTAATACTACTACTATCAGTTTGTGTTGATATTATAGTACACAAATTGGATTTTATATAATGTCTGATCTTGGGATATTCAATGATTAATAAAATTTGATTTTTTTTGTTAATTCATGATGAAACAGTTGAGTCATATAAATATAATATATCAAATTCTTCAATTTATTTGTATGTTAGTATACAGGCTGATCCACGGTGGATGGCCTATTAGAAGTATCTGGAGAACAAAAAGACAGAACATTCTGAAAATTGGGATGCTTTGATAATTGAACATTCTCTATCCGTCTAAAATATTTTCATCGATACAGTGTTGCCACTTCTATCAGAAAAACTAGCAATTTCGTTATTTTGAATAGAGCACCCTGTATTTTATTGAATTTTTAGATTCCCCTCGAAAAGCTGATTTCATCAATGCATCACACTTTGGGTCTAGCAGGAATGATTACATAGATATAGGGTGTTCAAAATCGAGATTTTTCAATTTCAGGATTTTTTTGTGTCGAAACTATTCATTATTGATCAAAACGGCTTACATGTCCCTATCTTAACTTTCGATTCACTATCTACTGACATCTAACTGGAACAGATACAGGGTGATCAGAATTCTGAATCTTGAAGCACCCTGTATTTTTTCCAACCAAATTCCAGTAGATAGTCAATCAAAAGTTAAGATAGGGACATGTGAGCCGTTTTGATCGATAATGAATAGTATCGACACAAAAAAAATCTTAAAATTGAAATATCTCGATTTTGAACACCCTATTTCTCTGTAATCACTCCTGCTAGACCCCAAGTGTGATGCATTGATGAAATCAGCTCTTCAGAAAGAATCTAAAAATGCAATAAAATACAGGGTGTTCCATTTGAAATAACAAAGTTGCTAGTTGTTTCTGATGGAAGTGGCAACACTGTATCGATGAAAATATTTTAGAGGGATAGAGAATTTTCAATTATCAGAGAATCCCAATTTTCAGAATGTTCTGTCTTTTCGTTCTCCAGATACTTCTAATAGGCCATTCACCGTGGATCACCCTGTATAATATGTATTTGTATTAAAGCAAAATATTTCAATAATCTGACATTAAATTGTGGTTTTGTTTGGCCAAATTTGTGCTTTTTGTTGTGTACATGGTGGCCAGATAGGAATGCAAACGAAATTGGCCAAAAGGAAATTATGGAAATCGTTTTCAGGTTTATAAGATGGCCGCCAGGGGTGTAACCACAACCTAAAAATACACACCTAGTAAATGCACCAAAAAAATATATGTTTGTCAAAGAACAACTGAACGGATTTCAACAAACCTGGTCTCCATGGGAGAAGCATTTATTCCTCCATAAAACTCATTTCACTTGTAGTATTTTTGATTTTCAGTGATGCTGCTAGAGCGCGTTTTTTTAATATAATAACAGAATATTGCAAAATTCTTTGAAAAATTAAATGAAATAATTCGACTTTTTTCCATAAAAATGTAGAGAAATGATACCTGAATAGGCTAGTGGTCTTATTCCTAGCTTGAAATATCAAGGAAGGAAAATTTGATCATCATAAATATAAAAAAAAACGCCATTATAGTCTAAAGTATTGAACAAAATTTACTACAATAAAGCTAAGCTTTGAAAAGTATATGTTTTTTGTACATTTACTAGGCTTATTTTATTGAAAAATTACTTTGGAAGTTTTAGATGACTGTTACACCTCCTGGCGACCATCTTTGTAATCTGAAAATAATTTTCAGGGTTTTCTTTTGGCCACTTCGGTCATAATTTTTTTTACCACGTCTCTACAACGAATAGTTTCTGATAATCCACTTTGCATTCTTATCTAGCTACTTTTCAAGAGAACAATCAATGATTCTGATGAAGAAAAACTACACCTTTTCCAGTTGTATTTCTGATTGCGTCAATTGTATTTCAGAATGAGTCAATTGTATTTCAGAAAGTTTCATTTGTATTTCAGAATAGTTAATTACGTTTCAGAAAGCGTCAATCGTATTCCAGAATAATCACTTGTTATCAATAATTGGATTTCAGAATAGTCTATCGAATTTCAGAAAACATCATGTGTATTTAAGAAAATATCATTTGAATTTCAATTGTATCTCATAATTATTTAGATTTGTTCAAATCACTAAACAAACATCAATTTCAAAAAACAAATGACTTCTGAAATCCAAATGATAGTTCCTGAAATACAAATGGAAAATTCTGAAATACTATCCATACTTTCTGAAATACAAATGACGCTTTCTGAAATTAAATTGACGCTTTCTGAAATACAACTGAAAAGGCGTAGTAGAAAATACACATTTCCCAATCTGTACATTTAATTTACAGTTGAAGACAATTATGATCAACATAATTCATCATCAGCAACAGTTTTAGCAGACTTTGTTGTTACACTCGATGTAGATTCCAATGAAGGATATGTTGCAGAAGAACTGGAAATGAGTCAAGTTCCAACCATAACTAGTGTGATGCCGGTCCGCGCCAGTAAGACGAGAGGTAGCGTAAAGCAGGCCGTGGAGTAATAACTTGCATATTAAAAATAAAATATCTAGCTATAGAATTTTTTCATCGAAAAGGACGCCTAGCAGTTGTAGATATAGAGTTATCATGTCACCTGATTTGGTTACATTTATTTGGCCTCTTTCACTCCAAAAATCAAAAAAATATCTTAACATTCCTTTTTTTTTCCTCAAGAACTACTTGTGGTAGTTGTGGTGCACCGAATCAGAGGATAAACACTCAGGTCATTTATTACTCCCAACAATGGCAATCACAAATTTGTTGAAAAATAACACTACTGGGGTGAATTTTGATGGGCGATAATACAAAATTGCAATACCTAATCTTTCATTCACATTCTTATTGTCATACTGATCATCTGAAGAAGAATAATAATTTTTCTTTACTTCTCTTTCAGAATTACCTGGCACACATGAAGTTAGTGCAGAAACTCAGAATATGTGTATTGAAGAAAAAGAAGTGACTCGTTTACCAAAAGACTTGGATGTCTCAGTCTCAAGGAAACATAAAAAAAAATATTATTGCAATTATTGCAACAAAACTGTCACAAATTTTGGCAGGCATTTGGTAACATTACATAAAAATCGACAAGAAGTGGTGATGATTCTGAAATATCCCAAAGGTTACTTTTTATTTTGCAATTGATCTTTTTTAAATTCCAAACTTTGGCACTTATAAGATTAGTGCAAAAAAATATGTTCCAATTTATTTTAACCCTCAGGACCGCCATTGACACCTGCTCAACAATTGAATCAAAATGATGCATACATTTGCTCCAAATTGAAACTTTGACATTTCTGAATGACAACCTATTCCTATTTTCTTTTTAGTTCCAGATGAATGAAAATATCGGCAAATTATGTACTATTCACCAAAAAACCTAGTTGAAGGTACAGGGTGATTCACCATAAATGTCCCCCCCTCTAGCTCAGTTATTTTTGAACCGATTTTAAAATTTGAAATATCATCTTGAATGATTTTCGATAAAGTTTTTTTCCGCTAGATCAGAAAATACAGGGTGCTCGGAACAAACGAGCTACAGGGTACTATTTGATTTTGTTAAATCGAACACCCTATATTTCATTGTATATTTAGATTCTCCCTGGAGAGCTGATTTTATCAATGTATCACACTTGGGGTCTAGCGGGACTGATTATAGAGATATAGGGTGTTCAAAATCGAGATTTTTCAACTTTAGGATTTTTTTGTGACGAAACTATTCATTATCGGTCAAAACGGTTTCCATGTTCGTTCCTTAACTTTTGATTTGCTATCTACTGACATTTAATAATTGGAACAGATACAGGGTGACCAGAATTCTGAATCTTGAACCACCCTGTAAATGATCCAATTAAATGTCACTAGATAGTAAATAAAAAGTTGAGATAGGAACATAGAAGCCGTTTTGACCAATAATGAATAGTTTCGGCACAAAAAAATCCTAAAGTTGAAAAGTCTCGATTTTGAACACCCTATATCTCTGTAATCATTCCCGCTAGACCCCAAGTATGATGCATTGATGAAATCAGCTCTTCAGGAAGAATCTAAAAATACAATAAAATACAGGGCGTTCCATTTAAAAAAATCAATTAGTACTCTGTAGATCGTTTGATCCGAGCACCCTGTATTTTCTGATGCAACGGGAAAAAAAATCTGAAAAATCATTTTAGATCATCTTTCAAATTTTTGAAACGGTTCAAAAATAAGTGAGCTAGAGGGAGGGACATTTATGGTGAATCACCCTGTACCATAGGGTTATAAATGAAATTATGCAAATGAGCTTCAATTTGGGAAGTTGTTGCTTTTGTATAAAAAATCAAACAATAATAGAATTAGAACCCTATTGTAGAATTGTTTTTCTCAAAATCATTACATTAGTTTTGGAAAACAATTTAATATGATTGTTCAAAAAGATTTTTGCTTCTCTGTTAAAAAGATCAAAATACTGAAAGATCAATTTTTTTATGTTTCATGGAGTTTAGAAGTTGTTTGAGTGTTATCCTTAATGAATCAACTTTCAGCTCCACCTGATTTGAATGAATTAAATCTGATTTCCGAATTTTGTGAATGTAAAAGTGAATTTTCAAACATTTTTCTGTAATTTAAAAATTATTCTTACCTAGCCAATCATTTGGAAGTTACAAAGTTACAAAATAGGTAAAAAATTGCATCAATTCGTTTCAATTGTTGAGCAGTTTATAAAGATATAAATTCTTAGGTCATCCTGAAAGACAAACTAGAATATCTTCTATTAGAGAAGCTGCTCAATATGAGTATAATACTAACCCAGATGTTAACAAAGGAAATATAATTGTCAGTAGAAGGCCTTCTGAACATAAAAATCGGAATGCAAACCATTACAGAGCATGCCCAAAATGCAAACAAATGTTTTCAAAACTTTCTCTTCGAGTGCACTTCTCTAAATGTTCTCTTCAGAAAGGAGCAAGAGGTGTTCTGCTTGAAAGTAAACAATCTCAAATGCAAGTTCATAAAGAAGCTAGTACCAGATTGGTCAAATGTGTATTGGCTCGTTGCCGTGATGATGAAATCACTAGAGAAATTTTATATGATGAATTGTGCATCAAATATGGTAATAAACTTTGTAAAAAATATCATGGTCAACAGCATGGTAATATGATGCGCGCAAGACTTAGAGAAATTGGCAAGTTTATTCTGGAGGTGAAAAAGATAAATAAAAATATCAATGATCTTAGGGATATTCTTCTTCCCCAAAACTATGATTTGATTGTCACTGCTATCAATAAAGTTGGCGGTTTCAATGAATTGTCTGGATCATACAGAGCTCCTTCTACTGCCTACAATTTAGGATTGCACATTAAAACAGTAACAACATTGCTTCAGTCTGAATACATCAAAGAAGGTGCTCCTGAAAAACGCATGGCAGCAAATGATTTGATCTGTTTGATGAATGAAGGCTTCCAAACTGATATTAATAAAACTGTGAGCGAAAATCAATGTGAGAAGAGAAGACACAAGAAGGTTCTTCTGCCAACAGCAGAAGATATAAATGCTCTTAAATTATTTTTAAAGAAAGGGTTAAAAGAATCATATCATGCTTTGAGATCAAATTTCAGCCATAAGGCATGGAAAGATCTTGCAGGTTATACTCTAATTTCTTTGCAATTATTCAATCGGAAGAGAGCTGGTGAACTGGAGAGAATTTTTATAGAAGACTATAGAAGTTATCAATTTATAGATATTGATGACGATACTTACAAAAATCTTGAACAACATCTGAAAGCTTTGGGGAGAAAGTATGCAAGATTTTTCATTAGAGGGAAACTGAACAGGCAAGTTCCTGTATTGATAAGTCGAGAATATATAGATTGTATTGATCTAATCTTGGAAAATAGAGAACAATTTGGAGTCCCAAAAAATAATCCATATGTATTTGGGAGTGTAGGGAAAACTCAACATACTTATTTACGGGCCTGCAATCTAATGAGGTATTACTCAAAGAGTTGTGGCGCCCCTCATCCAGAAAGATTACGGGGAACTGAACTGAGGAAACAAATAGCAACGGCATGTAAAGTTAATAATTTACCAGAACTTCTTGTTGAAGACATTGCAAATCATTTGGGACATGGTATGAGCATCCATAAAACTATATATAGACAATCACTTGGAACAGAAGTGCCAGGTGTTGCAGAAATATTATTGAAAGCTATGGGAGGTAACGAGAGTAGTAGTGGAGAGTCAGATGTTGATGAATCTGAGGAGAATCCTATTATTACTGATGATAATCCTATTATTACTAATGATAATCCAATTATTACTGATGATAATCCTATTATTACTGATTTGATTCCACAACAAAATACCTCACCCACTCCAGGTACTTCCTCTTCACAAGAGGATCTGCTAGAATTACCTAAACAGAAACAACTTCCAACAAAAGGTATATATATAAATTTATATTATAATGATCTAATACTCCTTTTAAGTTAGTTATAAAGAGAGAAATATATTTCAGTTACACAGAAAAGAACTGCTTGGACAGAGCCAGAGATAAATGCAGTGAGAAGGAGCTTTGGAGACCACATTAACATTGGTATAGTGCCCACTTATGAAGAATGCCATGAATGCAAAAAGTATAATAGTTCCCTAAATAATAGAACTCCTCCACAAATAAAGTCATTTGTAGTGAATCAAACAAAAAAGTTGCGTGCTGCCAAAGCAAAAGGTAATTTCAATTTTGTTATAATTAATAATTGATGTCCATCCAAGCCTCCCACTGAAATTAATGAAATGGCACTCATGACAATACAAAGAATTCTTGCAAGAGTTGCTGGATAATTCATTATATTTTTAAATCAGTAGTGATATGACATGAAAGGGATAATTATTTTCATAAGTAATAACAAATGATGATTTTGTTTGATTCATCAACCTCTTGAGTTGTATTTCCCTAGATTATTAGATTACCATTTTCAATACATACAAAGAAAGCATAGTTATACAGTGAGGATTATAAATGTTACCCCCCTATCTAACTCGTTACTGGACAATTGTTAGGAAATTCGCCGAGACACGTCGACTTTCGAATTTTACAATGCACAATTTTGTATGGTTAGTATACCCCTGATTTCATCCCTTAGTGAAGGGGAGCAATCCTTCCAAAAAATTTAAATAGCATGGGGTGATGACTGGTAGCTCATGTGAAAAGGGGTTTTATTCTGTTGAAAAGGAATATTCTCAGATAAATTATGAACATACAAAAATGGATATATATGCTTTTGGGTGTATGATAAATTGACATTCATCATACAGGGCGTGGAAATGAATTCTGAATTGAGACTCTATCACGAATCTGCGATTAGAGGTCTATAAAAATCACAAGTTTCCATCGTTCAAGTTTGAACCCCCTGATTGGGTATGAAAGTGTTGAAAAGGAATATTCTCAGATAAATTATGAACATACAAAAATGGATATATATTTATATAAAGCAATACATTGAGAATTCGCATTCTCTATGTGATGAGAATATTTACTCTTTTTCAGTTAATTCAGAAATTTTTATATTTTATTTTCAAACTCTTATCGTGTGTAATCAATAGATATAATTCAATGTTCGTCGTGGCATATAGCCAGGAAAGTAGTTGTTTTCTATTGAATTAACTGAAAAAGAGTAAATATTCTCATCACATAGAGAATGCGAATTCTCAATGTATTGCTTTATATAAATATATATCCATTTTTGTATGTTCATAATTTATCTGAGAATATTCCTTTTCAACACTTGGATATATATATTTATATAAAGCAATACATTGAGAATTCGCATTCTCTATGTGATGAGAATATTTACTCTTTTTCAGTTAATTCAATAGAAAACAACTACTTTCCTGGCTATATGCCACGACGAACATTGAATTATATCTATTGAACACACACGATAAGAGTTTGAAAATAAAATATAAAAAAAAAAAAAAAAAAAAAAAAAAAATCTGAAATTGAGAATTTGCATTCCCCTTCAGACAAAAATATGTATATACACAAATCATTCTGAATATTCAACAGAAAACAACTACTTTCCTGGCTATTTGCCACGTCGAACATTGAATATTCAGAATGATGTGTGTATATACATATTTTTGTCTGCAGGAGAATGCAAATTCTCAATTTCAGATTTTTTTTTTTTTTATATATTTTATTTTCAAACTCTTATCGTGTGTGTTCAATAGATATAATTCAATGTTCGTCGTGGCATATAGCCAGGAAAGTAGTTGTTTTCTATTGAATTAACTGAAAAAGAGTAAATATTCTCATCACATAGAGAATGCGAATTCTCAATGTATTGCTTTATATAAATATATATCCATTTTTGTATGTTCATAATTTATCTGAGAATATTCCTTTTCAACACTTTCATACCCAATCAGGGGGTTCAAACTTGAACGATGGAAACTTGTGATTTTTATAGACCTCTAATCGCAGATTCGTGATAGAGTCTCAATTCAGAATTCATTTCCACGCCCTGTATGATGAATGTCAATTTATCATACACCCAAAAGGGTTTTATTCTCTTAGTTGCCTTCCTGTTTGTGGTGTTTTGTTATTTTTACACATTGATAACTCAACACATAATGGAGCAAATTTCAATTCCTTTGATGCATGGCAAAATAGAGAGTGAAACCCTCAATCACATGAGCTATGACTCACCACCCCATGCTATTATGTGCATGTTGAAATTAGTTGAAAATATGTTCACTGGTACAGTGAGTACCCATCTTCATTCGAAAATTTGATTGAAACGAGAAGTGTTATAAAATAGTAGAATGACATAATCATCATTGCACAGCTCACTAGAGTAGTTCGTTGATGTTCCTTTGACACGTGACATTTCAAATATTTTAGTTATGTCTTCCCTTATTTTATGGCACTCTTCTTGTTTCAAACAAATTTTCGACTGAAGATGGGTACTCACTGTACCAGAAAATATGTTATCAACAAATTTTAACATGCCCATGTGGCCATTATGAAAAACTATGGAGAGGACTGTGAGTTTTTGTTCCCCCTTGAAAAAATACAACTCAACTTTGAGTATGAACTACTTCCTTCACATAAGTTGATGTGTCTCAGTATTTATTCAGGTTGGATTATTGGATGGACAAGAACCTACTTCTTTATTTCAATTCATGATATACATCATGTATGTACATTAATAATTTATTTTTAGGAAAAAAGACTTGGACATCATCAGAAAAACGAATTGTTGAACAAAATTTTTCAGAGTATCTTAAGTATAAAAAACTACCATCTTTGCCGAAATGTCAAGAAGTAATTGCAGTACATCCTGATTTGAAAGACAGAACACCAAAAATGTTGAAAGCATATATTAATAATGTAAATAAGAAAGTTAGTGCAAATGAATAGATTTTCATCTCTGACAAAATAAAAGTATTGCATAGGCATTCAATTTAAAGATGAAAATATATATTATTATTATTAGTTTTCAAAATACAGGTGGTATCTATGAAATTTAAAACTACTAAGAAACAGAAGAGTAAGCAATTAAAGATTTAATATCTCTTTGACGAATACAAATTAATGAAATAATAAATCCACCAATTAAAGATAAATTTAAAATAAAAATATTAGGAATATACAGGGTGTTTCCTAACTACGGTTCCTAACTAACGGGGGGTGATTTGTTAGGTCATTTCAAGAAGAAAAGTTCCTATGAACATATGTCCGGAGTTGCTTCGTTTCTGAGATACAGGGCGTTGAAATTAAAGAAAACAAACGATAGTTATGAAATATGAATATTCTGGAACCGATTTGGTTGAAATTTGGTACTTTCATGTGTAAAATTTTCTAAAATTTCAGCATATTAAGTGTCAATTAAATTTTTGGCGGGAATAATGAAAAACTCATTTCTCCAATGCATGTGTTCATGATATGCAATACAGTGGCTTTGAATTTTTTCTCGAAAACCAAGCTGGATATGAAGAAAATGCAAGAGACCAAAAAGTTGAATTTTGAGTTGCTCAATCTAAACAAGATAAAAATTCACCAAAAAAAGACAGTGGCGTACTTTTTTTTCACAATATTGTTGGCTGTGGTGCCCACTGAGACGCCACTGGCCCTGATAATTTCAATCTAAATAGGGCTAAATAAGCGCCTTATTAGTTCAAATGAAAGTACCAAATTTCAACCAAATCGGTTCTAGAACATTCATGATATTTTATAATTACCGTTTTTTTTCTTTAATTTCAACAACCTGTATCTCAGAAACGAAGCAACTCCGGACATATGTTAATAGGATTTTTTCTTCCTAAAATGACCTAACGAATCACCACCTGCAGTTAGGAACCGTAGTTAGGAAACACCCTGTATAGCTATTAATTTATATTCAATGACTGAATGAAAAACGATAAATACATTTTCACTACAAGTGAGGATTGGCTCCTTTTATTTTGTCAGAGGCTAGGAAACCCCTCCTATTATATACGTGTTCCAAAAGATAATATATTCACTTATTCAGGGTCATGTTGAAAACATTTTTCTGAGTCTTAAATTTCTTTCAGAATTGATACCAAAATCTGAAATACAACTATTTTCCTGGTTAAAATTATGTTCAATAATCAATTGTTAAAGATCAAATCATTATTTTCCTATAATGATACATTGTTAATTTGCATTATTTTATCAAAGAGGTTGATTTCCTGATTGCTTTTCCCGAAAAACTCTTTCTCATCCTATAAATTAGGGCAAAATGCCGTAGAATTTCCTCACAATTATTTGTAGGGCACAGTTCGACTATACCGGGAAAAATATCAAACTAAAACTTGAATGAATTTTCAATTTTGACGTGGCAGAAATCATTCTACTGAATTTATGCATGTTTCCTAACTCTAATTCAAGACATCCCATGAATTCTGTAGAATGTTGGAGTTATCTGGCAAGTTACAAATGGAAATCTATTACAAATGAGTTTCTATTTTATATTTTTTTACAGAACCGGTTCAAATGTGCTGTGCACAGTTCAAATCGCTTTTTGCGTGACCTTTCTGAATCTGACAGAATTTTTTCATGAAAGCAATGACGAGGTCAACTTATTTGACATTTCAGTATAAAAGGCTCTGCATTTGGATTATTATGTAGGTATGAAATGTATTTAGATTTCTGTATTCATTATCGTATTAGATAATACACCATTTTGATATGAACAAGCTAGCATCTACTTCCAGTATAACCCGATTCGTCCGGTTCTTGAAAATATTCTAGCTTTCAGGTTGCATCATGAGAAAATTATTTTTTAGAGTATGTACTTGTTTTGAGGCATGTATTTTAGTACCTCTTTTATCATCCTGTACAAATGGTATAAGCATCGCCAAGAAAAATGCGAGTTTGAAGACATACAGTGTGTCTCACTTCTAATGTATCTGTCGTAATGTTGGGTTAGGATTCTGGCAGGAGCGAGAGATATACCAGCAATACACTATGACCAAGTGGAGGCATCTTCAGTGATACACAATGCTCGCCAATAGCCATGGAACCAAAAATATTTCCGGAAAATGATATCAGGAGGCAAGATAGGTTGAAAATCACTTCTGATTCGAAATCAGGACGTCCATTCAAGAACGATTCATATTTCACCTGAAACATTTCCAGTTCTGAAAAATTCAATTTTGACTCATCATTGAAGCACACCCGTGTCTTGCACAATTATTGGGGTCGTTGACTGTATCTTAAAACTCTTCTTTACATCTGAGAATTTCATAATCCAACCTCAATATAATTATGTAAGATGCTTCCATGATAAGTGATTCAATATTGAATTTTTCAGATCTGAAAATTTGTCAGGAAGAATATGAATAGTTAGTGAATTGGACGTCCTGCCTGATTTCGAATCAGAAATGATTTTCAACCTATCTTGCCTCCTAATATTATTTTCCGGAAATGTGGGTGGTTCCATGGCTATTGGCGAGCAGTGTATATCACTGAATAAGATGCCTCCACCTGGTCATAGAGTGTTCTCTTGGTATATCTTTCGCTCCTGCAGATTTCAAAATTCTAACCCAACGATTACGTTAGATTCAAAGGTGTTTCCATTAGAAGTGAGACACACTGTATATGATATATTTGGTATTTTTGTTACTAAGTTTTCAAGCCACAGAATGGATGGTGGGTATAGTAATGAAACAAAATATTTGAATATGGCCATATTTTATGTTTCTTTTGAATATCGATACTTTTTGTTACCACCTACTGACACTGTTCAATTTGACATTATTATTTGTATTAAATTTTTATGTGAAATGAAGTTTCTATTTTTCTCTGGTTCATTTCATCCCATACTGCATTGGATATTGACAATGAAAATGTTATATTTTTGAGTAGTTGCATAATATTGATTTTCGAAATCAATATGTTGTTTCATCTACTAAAATGATTCACTGATGGTCTCTAATTTCTATTACCCGAACTTTCCAAAAATAATGCTGCTCATGCAATGGTAATTGAAAACAATACATGGTGATCCATGAATTTAGTTCCTTTATTAATAATTGATTCAAGACAATACGTTTTTTATGCTGCACATAATAAGTGAGTCACAATGTATATTACAATAATTGTCCTTCAAAAGAAATCACTCTGAAAAAAATTTGACCTGTCAGCATTTTTCATAATAATTGAAGCCCTTGGCACAAGAAAGGAAATACTGGATGAATCAAATTGAATGGTTTGGTTTGTATGGTTTGTTTGTGGAATAATCATTGGACATTCTGAGACACCTGAACAGAATAGGAGTAAGTAGTATTGGTACTAGAAAGTTGGCAGTTTTTTATGGTTATTTTTTATTCATTCTGGTGTTGTTTGACTTGGTGTAATTAGTTACTTATTATTTAAGCTTTCTTGAATTTCTGTCCCTTTATACAGGCCGTATTTTGTATGTCGTGCCACTATCGGCATCTCGAAAACGGTCAATGATACGAAGTTGGTTGTATTAGACAAAAGTTGCCAATTTTAGTGAATAATAAAAGGATGTTTCGAAATCGGAAATATCACGAACCGTTTTCGAATTATACAAGGAAAACCAAAATGGCCGGTTTTCTTTTCTTCGCCTTAGGGCCTCTATTTTTTGGAATTTGAAAATGTGTTTCAGAAACCTTCTATTCTGTTACAAATTCGCTTTGAAATACTGTGCTTGGATTTTAGATACGACGTTTCGTTCTATGGGGGCCAGGATCAACTTAATTGTTTTGAAAACGGACCTGTATTTTTTTAAATGAATTTGAGTAGCTCTTATCACACTGAGTTCAGATATGTATCATACCTGTCGTTTATTTTTACGTTCCGGCCTATAAAATCCATCATCAAGGAGAAGGGGTAACTATACTTCATGAAATCGTGTACAAGCTGGGTGTAATTAGTATGTTATCCTCATGAAATGCATGTAATCATCGTGTAATCTATATTATCACCATGAAATCATCATGTATTCATGCCCCATGAAATCATCATGATTACATAGATTACACGATTATTACATAGTGATCGCATGAATTCCATGAAGATTACATGATGATTACATATTACATACTGATTACATCCAGCCTGTACACGAATTCATGAAGTAGTTACCCCCCCCCTCTCCTTGATGATGGATTTTATAGGCCGAAACGTAGAAGTAAATGACAGGTACGATACATATCTCAACTCAGTATGATAAGAGCTACTTAAATTCATTAACAAAAATAGAGGTCCGTATTTAAAAAGATTAAGTTGATGGTGGCCCCCAAAGAACGAAACGTCGTATTGAAAATTCATGCACGGTTTATCAAAGCAAATTTGCAATAAAAGAGACAGTTTCTGAAACACCTCTTCGAATTCCTAAAAATATAGGCTCTAGGGCGAAGAAAAGAAAACATGCCATTTGGTTTTTCTTGCATAATTCGAAAACGGTTCGTGATATTTCCGATTTCGAAACATTTTTTCATTCATCATTGACCGTTTTCGAGATGCCAATAGTGGCACGACATAAAAAATACGGCCTGTATATTATCGTTGATTTATCTTGCCAAAAAACACTCCAATTTTTTTCATTGGATAAATTTCTTTAATAACTCAAAAATTTTCCATCAGTAATTTCACTCGAAAAACTGACATTAGACATGATTGCTCGAATTTATCCGATAAAAAAAGCTCTTGTTTTACTCTCGAAAAAAGTTGAGTACAATTAAAACTACGTTTGAATTTTCAATTACATCTGCCTACGAAGATATTCGCAGATTTCATAATTATTCACAATTTCACTCATGATTTTCTTCAAACATATTTACTCATATTTTCAACACCCTATATCTCGAAAACGACGCGTTTGAAAGTATATATGTATATCAACTTTTTTTATTCAAATTTTCTCAGAGAATTTCAAACCAGCAATTGAAACATTTCATTTCAAATGTTTTACTATATTTTACAATTATTTCAAAATATACTCTACTATAAGACCTTAAACCGAGATTGCAAATATCAGATATGAAATTTTTCAGTCGTATATGAAAAATATGAATTTTGTTGATAATGATAAAACCTGATTTTCATCGTGCGGATAGATGTCATTAAATATTTGAACGTAGTTTCTAATTTTATTCAATTATTTTCGTACTTTACTCTTGATGTTTTTTTGACATACCTCGAATCTAATATATATATACGACTGGGAAAATTTGATATCTGTTAATTGCATTTTTGGTTTCAGGCGTCACAGAACTTTTTGTGAAGAATGCCTTTTTTAATAAAATTAAAGAGGTCAGGTTAGATTGGAAGAAAAAGCAATGTCATATTCGTTATGTAGAATGCATATTTTTCTTCATTACATTTATATAATTAGGCCGAGTTCAGGTTGGAATGGGTCAATTTTCTCCGTACGAAAACTACTATCTAGACCGCTATGTGCACAGGAATAAGTGTTACCCCCCTCCCTATTATTCATTAAGATACTTTTAATCTTCATAGACTATTCCATGAAGATATAATCATTCATTTCTCAATATTCATAGAATGGATATAGAATATTCATAAAATATTGAAATTATAGGGAAATAAAAGGTGTGATGAATATTTGAAAAACCACATCATATTCAGTTTCAGTATTTCTTTATTTCCATGCCTGAAAAATACATGTTTCTAATTTGAAAATGAAGGTTACTTTTCTTGACCCTTTTCATCATTACCATTAACCAAGTCATCATCAGGTGTCTCTGTTCTCTCAGGCCTAAAAGAAATAAAATAAATTGAGAACTATGATTGAAAATTGAAATCTAGCATAGAGATAATAAATATCAACTGTTTACATCTGAATTATTACTGGTTTGGAACACATTTTCAGATTCAATTGCACTTGATAGTGAGAGCAGTGAATGGCTTTAAATCTTGAATGATGACCTGTTATGAGCTCACCTCTCTTGGCTTAATCCCTTCTTGTTCAACCTTTCATTGCATTTTGACAGCCAAATTCCTATAACAATTTCAATATCCTTCAGTGAGTATTGTTGAAAATTCTTGTGGACAGCTTCTATAAAATGAAAAATCATTATGTACCTATACCTATTAGTCACTGTTATATCACACTACACTGTTTTACCACTAACCAAACCGATTTTTTAACGCCTCGACACGTGTTTCGCCAACTATGTTAGCATCTTCAGGAGAAGATTCCGAAGTTTTAATCTTCTCCTGAAGATGCTAACATAGTTAGCGAAACACGTGTCGAGGCGTTAAAAAATCGGTTTGGTTAGTGGTAAAACAGTGTAGTGTATTATCCTGCCAAAGGTTCCAGTCTTCGATATACTGTTATATCATTTTAAAATTGCTTCACCCCCTATAACAGAAAAAATTCTTCATTTCACAAAACACACATGAAGGCTGAATGTTTTGAAAAATTGGTCATCTAATACTCTCTTGAGAATTCGTCTTGATGTTTCTTTATAGTTATTTCCCCCCAATTTACTCAGATCTTCAACCTGAAAATTAATTGAATATAGTAATGAAATAACAAAATTAAAAGATTTTCTTACCCATTTCCTAAAAACTCCAGTGTCCCTCAATTCATCTTCCACAATATGAAATTTGTCCTCTTTGAGAGGAAAATCTTTTAAAATAATGAAAGCCTCAATAGGTTTGTTTGTATCTCTATTTTCAGACAGATTTCTCAAGAGCATAATATGTTTCTTCAAGTTTGGTATGGATTTCTTTAAGTTTCAAATCATGGTCTTTTCGAATTTTCTTGAATTTTATTACCATTGATAAAATCATTTTGTGTCTGGGTTATCTGAAAGTAAAGTATAGGTAACTATTACAGGGTACTTATGGCAGTAGTGTCTCCAAAATCAATGATAGAAACTTGCTGATATTAACATAACTTGGAAGTAAAAAAAATTGTACACAACCAAAAATTATTGTAGCATATGTGAGCCAAGCCGATTCTACAGGGTCAGGAAGTGATGACAACAATATTACTTAAATAACTTCCCTGTATAGACGCCGTATTTTTTATGTCATGCCACTATTGAAATCTCGAGAATGGTCAATGATACAAAGTTGGTTATGCCTATTTTAGTGACGAATAAATGGATTTTTCGAAATCGGAAATACGTACCGTTTTCGAATTATGCAAGGAAAACCTAAGTGGCCTATTTTCATTTCTTTGCCCTAGAGCCTCTATTTTTACGTTTTTGAAAATGTGTTTTATTATCACCATGTAATCATGCTCCATGAAATCATCATGATTACATAGAATTCATTTAAAAAGATACAGGTCCGTATTTAAAAAAAATAAAGTTGGTGGCCCCCGAAGAACGAAACGTCATATCGAAAATCATAGCACAGTACATCAACGCAACTTTGTAACAGAAGAGAAAGTTCATTCAAATTCCTAAGAATAGAGGCACTAGGGCGAAGAAAAGAAAACAGGCCATTTTGGTTTTCCTGGTATATTTCGAAAACGGTTTGTGATATTTCCGATTTCGCAAACATCCTTTCATTCCTTACTAAAATAGACAACTTTTGTCTAATTCAACGAACTTCCTATCATTGACCGTTTTCGAGATGCAAATAGTGGCACAACATATAAAAAATACGGCCTGTATAGATACTCACCTATCAGTGATGTAGAGAGATTCAATTTATGAAAGGACATCTTCCCCTTCCTCCCAAGCCAACTGTACTGCTTGGCAATATCATTTGTCATTAGCGCCGACCGAGGCGCCGACATAACTCTTTTTATGAAGGTGTATGTACTTGAGCTTTATTTGAGCCCCCAAGTCCAGCAAATTCATGTACCTGAAATGAAAGATTTTTCTATACACAAGTACAGATCATTTTTTCTCTCACTATCATATTGACATATCATGTATAGTATAATATGAATTTAGTTACATCAATAAATTATGCTTGATAAGGATGTCTATAATGGGTATCATATCAATTTTTTTATGATGTTATTATGTAGGACTTTTCATTTCTGAGGAATCCATCATCAACCTTACCCCATGATAGACATCCTTATCTTGGACACACTGTATAGTGTTATAAGGTATCAAGATCTAATGTAAATAATAGAAATTGCTTTATTCACAAGAATTATTCTTTGAGAATAAAGTATATTTCAATGATTGAATAATGACAAAAATATTCATAAATTGATTTCAACACTTTGGTGTCCAATTAACTTTCTTGATATCAGAAACATGACAGTCTCTCAATATAGAACAAAATGATTTAACTACATACTCACTGCTTTGCTGAAATTTTCTGGGTTTCCTGAAATATTCTTGAATTTTTCAACATCAGTATCAGTCTGCATAGGAAACCTAACTTCTTTTGAAAATTTAACAAAAACTGATTGAATTTCTTCCTGATTTTCTGGACCAGTATATCTTTTTCAATGTTTCAATTTCTGCCAAGACATCTGTAGTCATACTTCCTATGAAGATATTTTTCTGAAAATGAATATAGATATATTTATCACTACATATTATTTGTGATTTGATATATTATGTAGAGCAAAAAAGTAGATGTAATTCATGATGCATGTATATTGATTCTCTACTTTTCTAACACAAATGAGGATTGAGTAAGATGGAGAATTACCACAGCAAACACATTATGTGTTAGGCCTTTCTGCTGTTCTTTGGGGGACATCAGATACCTCAACTTCTAGGTGATTCTTATCTTAAAATAGGATTTTGATTTTATGGTTTTGAATCTCAACAAGAAAGCTGGAAACCAATCAATAAATAGTTACTTGCCAATTATAAGTGTGATTTCTGCAGTTTGAGATTCTCTGATAATAGTAGCATTATGGTATTCCCTCTGTGGAATCTCTACATTACCTGAAATATAAAAAGTCCTGGTATCAGATGGCAACTGAGGGTTACCTATTTTTCAAAATTTTCAACAAGTCATTAATGGCAACATGAGATATTTTGTGATTCAAAGCTCACTCTTTGGATGGTAATTTGATAGGCCTTTCATACTCATCTTCAGATATTAATGATTGGGTGTTGAAAGAATTTTGATTTTCACCAGTATGAGGATCAAAATCAAGGTTTTCTGTAGGGTTTTCTTCAAATGATGAATCAGTTTTCTTTGAGATGGGGATTTCATTATCAGATTCATCAGAATCTGTGAAATATGAATTTGCAATGGACTCACTAGTTGGATGATTGAGGATATTGTTGTGCATGAATATATGAAGGTCCAGGTTGTTCTTAACGCACCACATCAATATTGTAAAAAACGAATCAATGGACTTACCCCAAAGCTATAGTAAATATAGGTTGGAAATGATGTTGGAATAAATGATCTTGTAACATAACACTCCTTTTAGCATTAAACATGCATTAAATTAAACTCAAAACTGCTAAAACTAGTCAAAACTGTATAGCAATTTTCCAATTATAGCATCTCAGCTCAGTGAGCTCAGGCACAATCGGCCTACTGTGGCAGTGGCAGCACATGCCAGGGGCCCGATTCTCAAATCCGTTGGAATGAATCTCCCATGGAAATTTGAGATGATGTATTCTGATGTAACTGCTTCCCATGGTCACACCCATGGGAACAACATGTTTCCCATAGGATACACTCATGAAATATGAAGTTATTTTCATTTGTGATGGGAACTGAACCTTAGTGAAAAATCGGAAAAACATATTATGTATTGCAAAATATGGAAAACATATGGAATAGATCTAAAAGCTTTAAAACATTTGGAAGTGTCTGAAATCCTTGCTGGAAGACTGAGAAGGTTTCTGCATAGAAAGGACCAATTGAGTGTTTGTCTGCTGCACAATTTATTGAAGTTTTTCGTTTATTCAAAGACATTACTAGAAAATTGATAGGTACTTCAGATTTCAGAATCCTTATAAGTGAATTGGGGTGAAATGTTCCTTTCCTCAAGTCCTTAGAGGCCTCCATTATTTCTATTAAAAGTCTTGTCTGCTCTTTGTTAATACTACCACCACGTGGTTTTTTAATATTGTTTGTATCCACATCCGTTTCGATTAGAGGAAATATAGTAAATATATAATACACAAAAATCTCACAGTCCCAAGATTATATTCTTTTATAGGTCGCGTGCACGAAGACCGACCCTGGAGGCAAAATATTGAAACACAACCTCATTCTTCTGTGAATTATTGAAACACAACCTCACTTTTTTATTTGGTTACAGAGGAATCAGAAGGTTGAAATGGTTTTTCAAAATATTTTGGCATACGAATCGTGTTTCTTGCGTTATTCATTAATTCAAGCATGCCTTCGCATTGTGCTGTTGTACAATGCACAAAAAATGCAGCAAGAGACTAGGGAATATGATTTTTCAGGTAAATAGTGATCTCACATAGTTAGCATTATTAAATGTTGTCATTCCTTATTAAAATTCCTTCTGACTTCTGCAACTTCTGCAATACAAGCTAATGCTGCTAATAGATTGAAAATGTCTACAACACACACGATCGTCAGCATGTCAGACTAGTCCTACCGATTGATTGCATGAATCCAATCTTCTTCCATTATTCTATAAATTTCAGGTATATTTCTATTAGCTGATCCTATTGCAGAAGGAATTCCGATGAGAAATCAGAGAAATAACCAAATTTCAAAAATGAAAACTATGTGAGTGACTATAGTAGGTACTTACTTTTGAATCATAATGTACCATCCGGATTTCTTCATCTTCCGCTGCAGTTTTTGTGCATTTTACAACAGCACAATGTGATGGCATTAGCGAATTGATGAATAGCGGAAAAATACGATTCATATGCCAAAATAATTGTGGAAAACTATTTGAATCACTTGTAAACAAATATGTTTTGCCTCCAGGGTCGGTCATCTGACAGTTCTTGCACGCGACCTATATTATACTATAACCTCAAAATTAGTCAAAATCAAAATTCAAAATGTCAACATTTCATTTCAATCATCAACCAGTTACCAACATAAATTCCACTCATTTCATTGGTGAATTCATGTAAGTTCAAGAATCTATCTGCGACATACGGCACTTTTTCAATCCCCTGGGAAAAACGATTCCATCTGGTTCAAGAATTGATCAATGATCATTCTAGAACACGTGATTTTGACATGGTTTCTTGGGGGGCACACAAACTATCTGTTAGGTTACTTTTGATGAGCAACGTCCTGGCCATCCCTGCCACATCCACAATATAATAACAGTTTCACCAAACAAAGTTATGAAATTCTTTCTGGTACCAACTCGGATTCCAAGGAAAACGATCTCACTACTTGTGGTTTTATATGACAAATCTTGACGAAATACAATGTTTGCCCCTCAGCAAGCTGTCAAATGACGTAATTCTGGAATGATTAATAGGTGTCATGACAAATTATCATTTCCTATGAGAACTGGAAGCACTGGATCATCCTCCTATAGGATCCAATTCCTACAGATTCGAGAATCGGGCCCCAGAGATGTATAGAAATTTAAGTACGATGTGTCAAGATGTGTCAGTGTTGCCAACAGTTCCAATTCCAAATCACCAGATCTGTGAAGTTAAAATCACCAGATTTGAAAAGTTATCACCAGATTTCACAAAATCTGAAGAAAATCAGAAAAACTTAAAAACTAGAGTTTTTTGAGCAATTGTGTATAAGAAGACATTGGGAAGTAGGAAATTATTCATATATAGTATGAAAAAAATCTTATCATTTTCGAACATGTGAAAAACAACATTTTTTATTGTTGTCAAATTCACCTCAGTCAAAGGCACCTCAGTCAAAGGTATTACCAATCAAAATAAAAAGGTACTTACATGAAGCCTGTTCATTGCAGCCACATTGCAGCTCATTAGTATTTCCGTGATTTGCATTTTTATTCATCAAATGATCACCATTTTGAAAATTGAAACAATGTTCTCTCTACTGTTTGATATGAATCTTTTAGTGTTTTTTCATTTGGTTCTTGTTGGTTTTTTGATTATTTTGAACGTTATATTTTATACTTACACTCTTCCCGTTCCTTCCAATGTCGATGAATTGTTATAGGAATGTGAATAAAGAGGTTAGGTTTTCACTCTTCTCCTATCTTTACGGATCTATGGGACTCTATGTGAAAAATCACCAGATTTCACAGTTTGATTGAAAATAATCACCAAATCACCAAATTAGCAGAGAAATCACCAAATCTGGTGATAAATATCACTAACACTGAGATGTGTTGATGCCACGAGACTGCGATCAGTGTTGCCAGGTTTCAAAAATTGACGTCGCCAGTTTCTTGAGAAAGTAGCCACAAAATCGCCAAATTTCAGGAAAATAACTAGCCACATTATTGTTATGAAAATTGTAATTTTTTTTGAAATTGTATCGATCGATTGTATCAATATCTTCCTTTGGAGCAGGGGTGTTAACTGCATCAAAACTGTACCAGAATTAACGAGGAAACATACCTATTTCCATCTCTCACTCCCATTGATGAAAGAAAAAGATGCAATATGACTAATTTTCTCTCAAATAAAAAAATTCACAAATAAGTAAATACTACATGAACATAAAAAATAAAATATTTTGTTGATGCAACTTATTTATTAAAAGTTGAAGATTTTTGTAATCATAAAAAGGAACATTATTGAGAATTAGTTACATATCATATTAGTCAAATGAGCGATTCTCATATAAATTTACTCGAGTATATTTCTACAAGCTAATCAGTCTCATCCGCAACATGACAAGAGAAAACATCAATTAGAGTTTCTTCATATCTGCAGATTCATTATAATATATTGAATTTGTAAATTTACTGAGCATTTCTTCAGTGGGTTTGAAATGTTCACAGCATTTACTCTTTGAATATAAATCGGTTCTTATCCTCAATACTGATTCTTATAATTTCATCCTCATTTTATTCCTCAGTTTTGTTTTTGTTGCATTCAATATGCTGAAGACCCTTTCCACTACTGCATTCGATGAATAAGCTTAATTGAAGCAAAACAAATTCACTTATTTTTTTGAAAATCAATACGCCTACAGCATTTTCATGCCTCGGTCGAGCTGTCCAGGAATCATAACTACTTTTCAAGACATCTCTAGTATATTTATTGTACCAATTTATTTATGCCAATAAATTGTATTGATTTTCTACCATTGACACTGATTTTGAATCAATGAATGGTAAATCTGCAAGTTTCTATGCGAATATCACATTAAATCTCCTGGAAATTTCACAATATCGCCACAATTGTCGCCAGTCGCCAAATTCAATTTGTCGCATTTCACCACACAACACGTGACAAGTAAAACGCGCAGTCGCTGCGTTCACACGGCAAGAATTCAAATGACCATGACAATCGGTATAGATGCAATTTCAGACCAATAAAAAAATGATCTGATGATTTATAAAAACGATGCTAACTATAGCGTCCGATTAAAATCATATATAATGACCCTGTAAGAAACTCTATCTGGGGTATTAACAATTTGTGTGATGTTGCTATGCTGTACAAACAATATATTCGAGAGTTTAAAAAAACATCATTGAAAAAGCGAATCATAGTATCATACGTCCCCATTAAATTACTTGAAGGAATAAAGTATATTGCATGGGTCTGTTGAAAATCACAAAAATTGTTGAGGAAGGATACAGAGATTCGAATTGACCGCCATAGATAGAATCGTTCTGATTGGTCTGAAAATGCGTGGATACCGAAAGTCATGGTTGTTTGACTTCGTGCGACACACGGCAGTCAACTGCCAACGGTACAAAATGCGGGTATACCATAATCGCAAACGTAAAGCGATTCGCATCAGAACTCGCCTAGCGATTTCGCCCATCTTTTGCAGTTAAGCTTACAAAATTTTCATCATTCGCGATAGAAAATAACACGTCGCTCCACCTGACGGCAGCAACTTGAACACTTCTGATGTATTATTTATTCCCACACCACTTTCCTATACCTACATACTTAAAATTTTCAATAATTCAGTTACAAAGGATAGTCATTGGCAAAATAATTTTTGTTGGAGCTATTCGCACATATTCAATATTACAACTCTCCAGAAACATTTTTCGAACTTCATATCTTATTATACATTTTATTCAACTGTAGGGTTCTTATTCGATTTCATATTCATTCCCTTTCAAATTCGTGAAATGAAAATGTTTATATAACACTGTGGCATTTAGCATCTCGTCTCAAATATGAGATTCGCGAACTAGGATGTCGTGCGAACCCAAGGTCTATTAACTTCTGCGAACCTTGGACGTGTCGTGATTGCAGCTGTCGCTGTCGCAGCACAGAATCGGTCATGACGAGTGAGTACAAAACTCACAACAAGAACCAGAAACGATTGAACAGTCTTCTTCTCATCTTTGAGTTCTAGTCAGCACAAGACTTGAACTGCAGGCCATTGCCATTCGTCAATCAAACTTAAATTCACGTAAACAACCTATAGACAAAAGCGCCACAATTATGTTGTCGAATTATCCAAGTGCGCCGTAATTGAGCGCCAAGCGCCAATTCTATTTTTGCAGCGCAATTCTTGATTTTGAAGCACCGAGTTTGCGCTATTTCGCCGCATCAGGTAACCCTGCTCAAATAATGAATCAGGAAACATTTTGATATTGGAAAGGCGCAATTTGTTTTTAACACATTTCCAAAATGAAAATGTGAGGTTATTGTTTTAATTGTCTGGATCTTCCTTTAGTGCGCTTGCGTAATATTCATCCATGAATTTTTGTTTGGTATGCATTCCTAGATGACAATATTTTCATCACTTCGAAATGTAGGTATGTGTTCGCAACATTGTAATTTTATAAACATGACTGAAACACAGTTTTTTCAAATGGAACACTACACGAATAAGTAATAATATACAGGGTGTTCCTTTCGAAAAAAGCTGAGTTTTGGTAATTTTTATGAGTCCCTGGAAGGAACTTATTTTGAAGCCTCCATGTATACTGAAACTGCGAGATCCACCCCATCGACAGAATACTTGATGGGATTATGCAGCTAGGACCCAAATTGCAATATTTTATGAATTTCCATTGAAAAAAATGATATTCTTCAATGACAAAGGTTTTGGCAGAAGAATATATTTATCTCGAAAACTGTCACAGAAAGGTATGG